GCATGGCGGCCTGAGCTAGAGCAGCCATAGCTGCTTTGGGTTGTCCTTTGGGCATCTGGGCAAGGCCTAGTAGTCCGCCATAGCCTCGGCCTATGAGAGTGAAGAGTGGGGAGGCGGCCATGGCTATGGTGGACCTCAAGTGATACCTGCAGTAGAAGAGGGACTCGGACATTGATTCTGGATCAGTCATTCAACATTGTATTATTATTTCTTGTATGAATAAGAGAAGGGGGAGATAAGGAGGAGGAGATTGTTGAGCGAAGAAGAAGAGCCTGATCAAGAGCCTTATCATCTGTTTTTGCTGGTGTACATCATCTTCTTCTTCTTTCTTACATCTTCTTCTTCTTCTTCTTCTAATCCTCTCTCTCTCCTCTCAAATCCATTCATTTCTTTTTGCAATTGGATGGCATTGTACTTTCCGATGGATGTGTAACTCGAAATTGGCCAGGGTCATAACACTTTCCTTTAACAGGCTTGAGCTCAGAGTCATAATGGTCTATCTCAGCGGCCCACCTACTCAACTTACGTGTCATTTTGGCCTGTGTCTTCAACCACCTAAGTGTCTCGTGGTCTGAATACACCTTGAAGTGCCTCCTAAGCAGGTACTACTTCCAGTGCTCTAAGGCCTGCCTGAGAGCGTAGAGTTCTGTCATACGTTGAGGTGGCTACCTTCTCTGAGGGCATCCTCGCTAGCATGAACTCCACGGGTCTGTAGCCATTGTCGTCGTCCTGCTGTAACACGGCGCCTATACCATACTGACTCGCGTCTGTGGTGATGACAAATGGCAAAGACGAATCTGCTACTTTGAGGACAGGGTACTCTATTAACGGGTGCGTTAATTTCTTCAGCGCAGACGTACAGTCTTTATTCCACTGCTAGATCGCCTCTTTCTTGAGCAATCTGCGAAGGGGAGCGGTGATAGTCGAGAAGTTCCTCACGAACTTCCTATAGTAATTAGCCAGACCTAGGAACGATCGCAACTCAGTTAATGTGCGGGTCGTCGGCCAATCTCTAATCGTCGCTAGCTTGCTGTCCTCAGGCTTAATGCCATCTCCGTCTAAAATGTGGCCCAAGTACAAGACTTGTGTCTTGCCCCACTCGCACTTTTTCACTTTGATCTTGAAGTTAGCCTCTCTCAGCTTCTCCAAGACCTACCTCAAATGACCCTGGTGCTCTTGGAGGGTCCTACTGAACACTAAGATGTCATCGAAATACACTACGATAAATCTATCTAACCACAACCTAAACAAATCATTCATACAGCGCTGGAATGTGGCAGGCGCATTGGTCAGCCCAAAGGGCATCACTATGAACTCGTAGTGCCTATATCTAGTCCGGAATGCAGTCTTGTACTGGTAATCAGGATGGACCTCTATCTGATGATATCCAAACTTTAAATCGATCTTTGAAAAATATCTGCAACCTTGCACCCGATCTAAGAGATCGTCTATCCTGGGCAGTGGCTCAACGTTCTTTACCGTGATCGCATTCAGACCCCTATAGTCTGTACGCATACGCAATTCTCCTTCCTTCTTGGGGACAAATAGTACGGGTGCTCCAAAAGGAGATGAGCTGGGCCTAATCCAACCCTTTCCGAGGAGCTCGTCTAAATGCTTACGCAACTCCTCTAACTCCCTTAGGGACATCTTGTAGACTGCTCCCTTAGGAGTTCTGCTGCCAGGCTCTTTCTCTATTCGATGCTGGATTGGCCGCGGCACTACTCCTCTCGGCGGCTCTGTCAAATCCTAACTTTTCTAGCAGCTTGGCATGTTAGGCTCAGTGATAGGCCTCACATAGGCTACGCAGACCTGCTCCTCTAACTACTCCTTTCTTACTAATCACATGAACGCGGGAGCACTGAGACAGCAATGTGCCAAGGAGTTATCTACTCCAGACACATGAAACAAGCGGGCAGTCTTAACCTCACCTGATGGACTAGGGAGCCTACACTCATGCTGTCTCAAATGAAGTGTGGCCCCTGCTGCCTCTCCCCAGTCCATGCCTAGGACTGTATCAAAAGGAAGGTCATCCTGTACGAGGAGAGTCGGGGAATGGAGAACCTTCTCCACCTTCCCATCTTTCTCTAGGCGGAAATACGCCTGGACTCCCTCTACGTAGTCCTCAACACGCATAGTGCGGTTGTCTGTGAGGACGCTGACTATTGGGTATTCCAACTTTTGGACTTTTAACCCTAGCCTTAGCTTCTTCAACGCTTTACGACTAATATAACTACGGGTAGCCCCTGAATCTATAAAGGCCCCTACTCTACTTCGAAAGACCTTTACATCAACTAGAACTAGTTGTCCCTTACTATCCTTCTTCATTTTGGCCCAGGCAGGCATTCTCTCATTCAACTCTTCTGCCACGCCTATGGGGGAAGTGTTGAGAGAGACGCTAACACAAGCAGTCTCTAGACAGCTGGCTAGGCACCTCTGCCGAAGGCACGTGTGGTGTGGGAGTTCCCTGTTCGCGCGCACTCGGATACAAGTTCACTGCAAATGGCTATGGCGGCACAACGCCTGTACAACTCTTTGCTCACACACACACTGGATCACCCTGGATATCCCACACGCGGCACTCTGTACACATATACACACACATACACGCTACACTCGCCTATCAGCTATGGCGGCTATGCCCGCTGCGACCCTATCGCTATGGCGAAGCTCCTTCTCTCGCCCACTTCGTCTTCGGGCTCACTGCAGACCACCTCGCACAAGTCGCTGTAGCAGCGCTTCCTGATGGCTTACGCAGGAATGAATCCATAGTTGGGCGCTGCCTCTTGATTTATACTTATGTACCTCGTTGGTCTCCCCCTTTTCCCATGCCCGTGGTGCACACAGTCCCATGCGGTACTTGCTTGACTGGACTAGGAGTGACTGGGACTGGGACTGCTG